GAGTCCGTGCAGTAACACGGCAGTGTGTCGCTCAATAAGGTAAAAGCCACACATTTCCAACACACGGCCGCATGACGGTCGTACTACGAGTGCGGTCGGTAGTTTGTCACTTCGTCAGTTGGCTTCCTGCCTGTACGTGTGCAGATTCACCCTGTATAGTAGGTATAATCAATTTCAACCTATTTTAACAGGATTCTTAATTGAAAATAAAACATATGTATTTTGACTTACCCTTTATTTCTAAATGCGTAGCAATTAAAGTCCATACCCTTTCCTTATATTCAGCATTCCTATATTTTTCATTTCTTTGGTCGTACAATACAGGATACTTTTTGACTTCTTCTATCAGTTTCTCCATTTCTGCAACGCACCGTGCCCGTCAAAAATTAAACAAAACTAATCTCGCACGGTACGGACGCGGTGCGGTGGTGTCACTCGGGCTCGGCGCGGGCACGGTGCGTAGATGTGAAGACTACGACATAAGAAAACACGGTACAACTATTCACCGAGACACGGCCGTGTCTCGGTGCGGGCTCGGTGCGGACTCGGTGCGGTCATGTGTGCCCAGACCTTGAGTCGTAGTGGAAGGTCGCAATATAGGTCCAATCGATATAGGCCTAATGAGTAACCAGCGCTTCAAGTAAACTTTGCTACAAGCAAGGATAATTATCTTGTAAGATTGAAATTTGTTTTGTGTCGTTCTAGCATCAACAATTTTGAAGGAAAATATTAAATGAAAATTGTATTAATGAAGAAAATTAAGGAAAATTTTTGATGCGAGGAGAAAAAAAAAACTTATCTAGTGTTGAGTAAAGATTTATAATTAATCTTTAATAATTATTTTGTTCATGACGTTGCGAAATTACACAGGAAAAGTTAATTTCGTATTACTTTTGTTGTTTAGTAAAATTTTGAAAAATAGCAGATATTTATGAGAAATGTGACATTTAGGATGGAAAAGCACGTACATAATTAGGTTGAACGATCTGATAAATACGCGGATAATATAATCGTGAAATTTTTGAATTTGAGAAAAGTAACCCATAACTCACAGAGGGTTCACTGACCGAACCTTTTACAAGGCAGGCACCTAATTTATGGTGAAAATGGGACAATTGAATAAGAATTGTCCGAAATTATCTTATTCAATATAATTTCGGTTTTAAAGGGCGGAGGGATGTGATGATCCAGAAATTTGACCCTATAATTACAAAGTCTTTACTGTAAAAATTAAATAAATAATCAAACAATCAAAAACTTAATTCCGGTATTTTGAAATCTGTATCGATAAATTAAAAATAAAAACCAACTAAGCAATCGTATAGCGACACCCGGAAGTCGTTCATCTAAATTAAATTCTTAAAAACTGATAAAACCGAGGTGGTGTCATCCTAAAATCCGATTCAATGAACTTTATTTAGCCAAGGCCTTTCCGTTTAACACACATTGAGTCGAATGAATTATGGATTCTTGAACCCAAAACGTCTTGACCTCAATAAATCAGATAATTGCGACATAATTAGTCGATTTTTGGGCTACAAAAATGATATAATATTCAAGGAAATTGCATCATTCTTTTAATAACAATGAGGCCGTCCAATGAAATTCGGATTCCTAAGTTAACGACCGCCTATATTGACGATTTGGGGGAAATTTAATAATAATTTTGTGGGGAGAGCGATTTGATATAAAACTCGCGGAAGATAGTTCCCAGTTGATAGTTGCCAGAACACAGTTGAGTCGTCCATTTGAGTTAAAGTCTGTCCAGTTTCGCGAAAAGTTACTTTTATGGCCTATGGCCTCGGGTATAAATTAACTTAGAAAATTTACGAAGAATCGTGAAAGTAATAACATTTTAAATTCGTTCAAATCAATTATGTGCGTGTAGCTAAATATTTTGAGTAGTTAATTAAATAATTTTACGTGTGTTTTATGGACAAAATGTAAGTACTTTATAGTGACAAGATTTATTTTGATGAACATGACTTTGAGTGATTAAACTCTGACTTTCTTTGCATAAAACAAACTGAGTGATTTTTTACTAGAAGTACTTTTGAATTTATAAACTTGAGGATTGCACTACTAGAAAAACTTTTGACTTTTAATTTAACGGTGGAACTTTATTACAACGAAATTAATAACTTGAGTGTTTTATGAAGGAAACATTATCGCATAACTTTAATTACCTTCAGATATAATGACATTTGAATGTGCAACAAAAATATGAAGAGTACTTACAATGCATTTAACAATATTCCATTTTGAGGTGGAAATTATGAATTAAACAGTTGGATTTATTAGCTAGGCATAGGAATCCGAAAATAGAATTTGTTCTAAGAAACTATTAACTGCAATAGGAAATTTTAAGAAGAAATTTGATGACATAATAGAATTGTTTTCTTAAAATATTGGAAACTAGTTAAAAGGAAACTTATATTAGAATTTGTCTGATTAAATAAACTAATTAAAAGGAAATAGGATGTTTCGTAAATTAAACTTGTTCATGAAATAGAATTGTCTTAGAATATGGGAAAGCCGTTAAAAGAATTTATTGTCCATAAAATGAATTTTGAATTAGGGAGTTTATTTTACAAGTAGAGGTTATTGTAAGATTTTATGAGAATAAATTAGTTGTTAAACAAATAGGTAATTATTTTGGGTTTTCATAAGTAAAGGACTTAAGAGATTTTAAGGAATTATTTGACTAGGTAAAGGGTAGTTATTAGGAATGATTTCGATGTAGTAAAATAAATAGAAATATTATTTTGAGAAATAGTATGAATAGGGCGTTTCGTATTAAGTAGGCATATTTCAGTGGTCCGTAAAATAACAATATAGAACGGATGTGAAGTATTGACTTTATAGAATTGAAGAAGGATGTAAAGTATTGAAAGATATTTGGCTGATATTTTTGAGTTTTATGTGAAATAAAATATAATTTAGTACACCTCCTTAGTTTGTTTCTCTCTCTTGCAAATAGACCCTCTTCCACAGATTTTAGATAGCAAGCTCCAAGTATATAAACACCATCAATATACCGCTCGCCATTTACCATCTAACTAATTTACATAGAGTACTTGGGGCAATTTGCTACAATATCATTATGGTTAAGTAAATAAAGTATTGTTGCGCAATAATTGAAGTGTGGCAAAACTATAGTGTTAAAAACAACAATTCTAGACCAAGTTGAGAGAGATGCTGAACAGCGCCCAAGATAATTTGTCTTAAAACTAATTTTAGAAACCAGAATGTTGCAGTGATCTTTAAATTTTAATTTGTTATCAAGAATTACCCCAAGATACTTAATCTTTTGAACTTCTTCCAACTTATTGTTACCCATTTTAATTGAATAGTTGTTCATATTAAAAAGACTTCTGTTATTATGTGTACCAATAAACATAAATTTAGTTTTACTAACATTAATCTTCAAAAGATTCGTTGATGCATAATTGTCCATTTTATTTAGGGCATTATTAACAGTTTCCACCAACAAATCCAAATCTTTTGAAAAGGCGTAGAATAGACTATCATCGGCGAAGTTATGCAATTCAATGTCATGTATTACATCTGGCAGATCGTTTATATAAATAATGAACAATAGTGAACCCAAAACACTACCCTGCGGTACACCATGCTCGTTAACTATCTCTATTGAACTAATTCCATTCAGTCTAGTTAATTGTCTTCTTGATGTTAGATAGTCTCCAAACCATCTCAACACCACATCCCCAATTCCAATTTTTTCTAGTTTCTTAAGTAATCAGTGCCGATCGACCGTCTCAAAGGCTCTGTGTAAGTCCAGAAAAACCGCTAGTACATTGAAACCTTGGTCATATTTTATTTTGAATTCATCCAGAATGTACTGTATTGCAGTTTCACAGCTGTGACCATTTCTGAAGCCTGACTGCTTCTCTGTTATAGTATTATGTGTGTTTAAAAATTCGAGAAGCTGATCATATACAACTTTTTCAATTATTTTCTTGATGACAGGAAGTGTATTAATGGGTCGAAAATTAGATGCTTCTATTGAGTTAAGTTTTTTTTGAACTGGTATTATTGTAGCGAGCTTTAGAGGATCTGGAAACTTTCCTTGTTCCAGTGAACTATTTATTAAATTAATCAGGGGTGCTTCAAGAGACGGATATATATTCCTTATTAATGTTACATTCAAGTCATCGGGACTATTTTTGTTTTTCAATGACATAACAATTTGATGATGATCACCCTCTACATTGCTTTAGACTGATCCAAGTTTTAGTTGAGAAACTTTTCTCACTCATCATTTTCCTTGCAGATATAAAGTCCTTTTCTAAATTATTGTTTCATTTGACAAAAACAGATATGAACTTATAATTTTTTTTCTCAAAAACTGTTAGAGATAAACCTATCGAAGAGAGCTAGAGCTATCCAATGAGTTATTATTATTTTATTTGGGAAAAAAAATAAATTTGGTTTATAATTTAAAAAACTGACAACGCCACTGGAATCTTCATAGAAAGATCTATAAGAACCCGTTCCCAAAACACAACATTTTCAAAAACATCTTGGATCTGAAAAAACAAAAAGCCAACGTTGGTGAAAACGATAGTCTTCTAACTCCAATAGCAACCTACCAAGTTATCCCTTATGTACAACCAAAATGGGACGCCCTCCTGTACCTACAAACCGGTTGGAACCTACCTTCCTTGTGAAGAAACTAGTCGACTTCTTGTAGATACCTAAACTAGAAAATAGTCATGAAACAACTACCATTGCGATTGAACCTGAGATTATCAAGTTTTTACGATTAACAGTAATCACCAATTATACAATTATAATTCTAACCATAATTGCCTGACTTTAATCGTTTCATCACTACTACTGAAAAACTTTGAACATGAATTCTTAGTTTTTATAGAATAAAACCAATACTTTTTTTAAGAAGAAGAAATTGATAACCCTGAAATAGTATTAAGTTGTAAATTAAACACTCAAAACTTAAAAAAAATCAACTTTATTGACCACTAAAATCTTTGGATTGTAAACAGGTTAAGTGGGGCATCTCCAGCTTCAGGAATATGGGATCTTCTTTCTTGAGGCTTACAAAACTAGCTTATTTATACTAAATAAAATTTGTAAATTTTGTGCAAAAATATTTTTCCAAAAATTGTGATTTCTTTTGTATCAGGAAAAATTCAAAAATAAAATTAAGAAATACAGAAAGAATCAGGGTTGGCAGGATATATATCAGTGATAAATATCTTGATATATATCAATAATATGTATTTGTATGGCCTTTTTTTTTCTATTATATAGTTTTATTATTTTATTTATGAGAAGGAAGTCACAGCGATTTTATTTATTTTTATTTGTGTATAGGTATAAGAAATGTTAGGTTTTTAGGGCTGGTATCATGAAACTATTTTGACAGATACCTAAAAGTTAACTTCTGGAATTACTATGAGAAGTAACGTCATTCCAGAAGTTGACTTCTAATTATTCTGTCAAAATAGTTTTATAATACCCGTCCTAAGTTGTAGATTCCTTATAATTAAAAATATAAATAAATATCCAAATTTTGATATATATCTGAATCCGATATATATCGATATATATCGGATAATTGGATATTTATATAAATATCATGATATTTGCCAACCCTGGAAAGAATAGATATGTATTGAATTTTAACCTAGTAAAAAACATGTATAGGGTGAGCTCAAAAACAACTCCAATTTTCCCTGTTAAGGTCTTAAAATGTTCGCAAAATGATGAACTTTTGAAATTATGTATTTGAAAACATCATACATCGAGTCACAAAAAAGTTCCAACCGAACAAGCCAAAACGAAAGGAAAATGCAGTGGCGGCTCGTGACAATTCAAACTGGTGAGGCCCATTTCGGGAAAGCTCACCACAGGTGCCGCGCCGGAGGCGCGCGAAATCCTTTGAGTTAACCCAAACAAAATTTTTGAGAGCCAAGCTCAAATTTTGACCCCAAAATTCAATAAAAAACACACCTCGGTTATTTTTTAAAAATATATTTGTAACATAATGTTTCTCTATTCTCTTATTACTAGAAAACAAAATAGAAAATAATAAGTAGCAAGGGCCTTAATAAGGGTAAAACAATAAATAAACACTTCACAAACAAAATACATACATTTTCTATATATGTATACATATCTAATTTTTTTTATTTTTTATATATTAGGTCTATTCGACAGTTTCTCAAATTTGCAAATTTATTAATAATGTCTTCATAAAACTGGGGATTCTCACTAACACTTTGAAGGATTCCTTTTTCTATAGACAGCGTTGACAAACCCGTTAGGCGCTCTTGTGTCATCGTATTTCTTAAATAAGTTTTAATGCGCTTAAGACACGAAAAATTTCTTTCTACTGAGACACTTGTTGCAGGAATAGTTAAGACTAGGCAGAACAGTTTGTATGTTTCCGAAAAGATAATTCTAAATTCCTTGTATAATATCTCTATCATTTGTTGTACATCTTGATTACAAAATTGTTCGTCCCTGTATAAAACACTAAGTTCGTTTTTTAGCTTATCTATTTCAAAAACATTTGGATACATTTTCAATAAACACTGGAATGATTTTTCGGGGAAATTCTTAACATATTCGGTAAATTTTGAAGAATCTACTAATGAAAGAAAATCTAAATCCTGTAGGTTATTGAATTGAGTACTTAATTGAAGGGAAATACAATCTATAATTTCATAGAACAATATTTTATAGCTCAAAAATATTTCCAATTCATTGTCACTTTTGCCCCGTTTTCTTGGTAATTCAGTTTTGTTTTTTGCCCAATTGAAAAACTCTTTAAATTTGTGTTCGTTTCTTAGTTCAGAAATTCGTTGGGCGGCAATTTTGATTTGATTAGAGCAGTAGTTTATGTTTAAGAATTTAGTTTGCAGAATTTGGAAAAGTAAATCTGTGAATGAAAAAATTTCGTAATAGATCTTGGTCAAAATAGCGAAGTCAAAGTCTTGGAAATGTTTTAAAAATCCCTTTGCCGAATTCACCGATTCGGAACCTGATGTCTTGTCATCAATTATAGTTTGAAAAACTATTATCAAGTTGTCCCATTCAGCAGCAATCAAATTAAGGATTTTGGAATGGGTATACCAACGCGTTTCGACTGAACGTGGTAACCTTTTTCCGATTACTTGATCGAGAACAAATGCGCGCTTTGGTGAATTATGGAAATAGGTTGGTATACCTAATAAAGTACAAAAATAGATTCTACTTTTATCAATTTGCTTAGTGCCTTGCTGCAGCACAAGGTTTAACCTATGTGCACAACAATGGGTAAACAAAGCTAAAGGGGCAGAAGATTTAATCTTGGCTTGAAGTCCATTTAACTCGCCAGCCATAACAATGGCCCCGTCATAACATTGAGCGACTAATCTTTCTCTAAATTTATATGGCTCCAAAACGCCTTCTAACAAATTATAAAGAGCATCTGCAGTTCGATTTTCGCTCACATCAAAAAAACCTAAAAATCTTTCATGAAGAATGCCTTTCAAGACGTATCGAATAGTTATAGCGCATTGAGAACGCTCTGTTATATCTGTTATATCATCTGCCATTACACCGAAAAAAAAACATTCTTTATTATTAACTTCATTTTTAATAAAATCTGTCAGATATTCATGAATAAAAAAAAGTAATTTGTTTTGTATTGTTTTGGACTGCCCTGTGAAAATATTATTAAATTTTTCGCAGTGTTCTGTAAGTTCTTGATTACGCTTAATGAGGCATTTAAAAACCTCTTCAAAATTACCGCGATTTAAAGACTCTAAACTTTGATCATGTCCTCGAAAAGGCAGTTCTTGTTTCCCCAACGTAAGTGTGACATCTATTAAATAGCTAACTAATAATCTATTTTTCCGGACATTTTCGTTAAATAAAATTAAGTTTAAACGGGCATTTTCCCTCAACGCATCCTGAATGGTCGCCCTATTTTGTTCTAACCGAACTACAGCCATAAAGTTTTTTATGTGCTCTTTAGAAGCCTCGTGCATTTTGGTACTACGAGAAAAATTTTTCAAGTCCTTAAAACCATCTTTGGAGCACCATGAGTTTTTCGCTTTACCCAATAAAATACACGGCCAGCAATACAAACTTTGTTTATATGAACTCCCGCAAAGCCATTTGTAACTATCATACCATGATGTTTGGAATGATCTGGAACTTTCTCGACCCACTCTCTTTTCGCTAAAAACTGCCGTGATTTTTGGTGTTGGTCGACTCTCCAAGATTTGACGTTTCTCTAATTCTGATCGTTGAGTGAAGGAAGTTTCCAGCAAAGACAAAACAATATCATCAGAGGGATTCATTTTAGTCCTATAAACATTAGGATTAAATATTAAATTAAAATAGGTAAAAATTTTAATAAAATAGGTACCTCCATCCAGCAACACAAAAATATGAATTATTATTTATTATTTTAACCCGCAACAGATAAAAACAAAAGGTACGCTCCTATTGAATCACGCACAGCAAGAGATGCAAAGTTTCTTTTTAGCAAGCCCAAAATTGTGCGCCTCAATGCCTATGAAAATTTGCTATCGTCTCGCCTACAGTTGAAGGGTTGTGGTGGGGAGTCTAGGCCCTTGCAATGACATCGCATCCACGTTCTGTGACGCACATGAAATGAAGCCAAAATTTTTGGGATTGCTATTTTATTTTTATGCTGTCCGCCAACGATTTGAGCGCCCATGAGGATAAAATAGGCAGAAGCGCACGCTAAATTCAAGAGATAGAATTAAACTTAGTTAAAAATTCAATGTTTTGATACTTTTAATGATTAAAAATAGTTGAAAAACGTTACATATTCAATAAATATTATTTCAAAATTTTACATCATTATTGTAATTTTTACATGTGAGGCCCGGCTTCAGTTGCTTTATACGACGAGCCGCCATTGGGAAAATGGTTCAACAGCAAAAAAAGTTACATAAAAACAAAATTCCGGTTTTTTTTAAGGCCACCCTATATTACATTATCTCGGTAATTAAATCATTAACAAAATGATAAAATACAAGGTGTTTTTTTTTTTAATTACATAGAACTTAAAAAAACTAAACAAATTTTTTAAATAACATTTTCTCAAAAACTCAAAAAAAAAAAATTCATCTTTCAGATTTTCTACAATTTTTGTTGAAATTTCACCAAAACCTCAACATATTGCTCCGCATGTTATCAGGGACTTTATTCTCGAAACCGAGGAACAGCGTTCTCATGAGAAAGATTGCTCTGTCATTGTCAGTGTTATGGATTTATGAATACGGACGACGGTCGACGAAGACAGAGCCTTCGTTCTCATAAGAACGCTGCTCCCCTGTTTCAAGAATAAAGGTCCAGGCATACTGCCTACCATGTTATAATAAGGCATATTAGTAAGTAAAATTATTTTTGTATGTTGCTAGAATTATTCTGTACACACAAAAAAATAAAATAGTTGTCAATGCTTCAATGCCTTAGTCCATGCCCCAAATATGGGTCATATTTGCATAATTGCCTTTTATACTACAGTCTCTTGTAAATAACGAGTAGATTGATAGACAGTCCGTCTTAAAACCTAATATGAAATAAAAGCCAAATGTGAGCCAAATATGGGGCACAAGACTTGCAAAAAAACATAAGGCATGACCCATATATGGGTCACAGGACAGTGAACATGTTAAAAAACGCCCTTATATTGGATTACCAGGCTATTGTTTCACATTAAAGGTGCCTCCGAAGTTTCATACCACATGCATTAAATACTGGCCAAAATAATCAACATTCATACAGAACAGACATCCACATAATATTATATTTGAATTTTTTTACCTGTTGTAGCCAGTTTAGTCCCTTGCAAACCTTCCAAAACAGCAAAATAATTCCCAAATGACAAGAGTAGTATGCAAGTAAAAGCCAAAAAAAAAGACATTTCTGCATACTCTCAAAAAGTTATCAAACTACTACAACAATTCAGGCAGCGCAGCATTAAAGGCGTCAATTAAAGAAAATTGCCACCAAAGACAATGCTGTCAAATTGTTATGTATGTAGTTGATTGAGAAAAAAAGCATTATTTTTGATACAAAGCTTAACACCAAAATAGGGCTAAGGGAATCAATAAATGCATTGTTGAAAATTAAAAAATGAGCAAGAAACTTCCTAAACACACAATAAAAATTAATATTACAAGAAAAAATGATATGGATGGATGGCAATGGTTTTCAATTGCAATAATTGAAATATTTCACGTTACAAAAACATCTAATCATCAAGGATAAATTGCCTATATATTGTCCGGACATACAAACTGGCAAGAAAGTATTGAACCTATGGATTGTCAGCCAAAAAACATTTGCCCATTAATAATGAATAAGGAAAAATTCGCATAAAAGTCCTGAGAAAAACACACATACACCTTTGAAATGCCACCAAAAGTAAAGTAATAGCGACACAGAAAAAAATGTAGTTTGTTTTTCTTAAGTAAGGCTTTTGTGGATACATTGTTTAAAAAAAAATATCTGGGCAAAAATTTTATTGCCATAACAACTTGAGAATAATTAAGTGAAATTAATGCTTTAAAAGTTGATTTGTTTGAGTGATAAACAGCCTTCACTGCAATATTGACAAGAAGGCAAAGATTATTTTAAAAATCCAATTTCAAACTACAGCTTGAGGCATTTAATTTGGATAAATTAGGTGATTTAACAATAACTAAGTATGATTGAGACAAATCAGTTAAAAATGCAATTGTACGTCCTGGACATGACTATGAAGGCAAGGAAAGAAAATAAATTTAACACTTACGGTTCTTCAGCTTCGCTCTTGCCAAGGCCTGAGGGTCCAGGTTGGTTGTAGGCACTAGTTCCAGGTACTGAAAGGTCTTCATCGCTCTGATCACTCTCATTCTCTAATTTCACATTATCTTCTTTGTAGTCACTCTCCTCATTTTCATTTTCTTCTTTGGCGATGGATGCAACATCCACCGTATCAGGTTCATCTCCATTATCGTCATCATCAGATTCAGGAGCAATACTCATCTGTGCTTTTATGGCAGCAGAACGGCGCGGCCTTTTCGCAGCCGGCTCCTCATCTGTTTCGTCTTCAGCCTCCTGAAATTAATAATTACATCATTATTTGAATTTATTTTCAAAGTGCCAATTGTACCTCATCATTGGAAGGGTCTTGAGCAAGATCGAGATCAATAATTTTTTCCTCAATTTCTTCTTTGATTGAAGTCTCTACAGGTTCGGCAGGTTGCTCCGCTAACAAGCTAATAGTTGGGTCATCATCTTTGATGCCCACCTGAGCGAGCCAAGTCAAAAGGGTTTTTTCTGAGTCTTCAGAGATTCTCCGAAACTCGAATAGCACATCAAGCTTGTTCAAGCATCCATCACAGATTTTTTTTGGCAGCTGATCCTCTTTGGATATCTGTAATTAAACATAGAAAATGCGATTAGAGCTATGGGGGTAAGATTTAAGTGGATGGATAATGTATGACTAGAATCTAGATGCATGTCACTCTCAAGGATGCTGAACTTTGTCCTGAGACGTGCCGAAGTATGGTATTGTAACTTTTCCGCGAAAACAGAGCGAGATAATTAAAAAATTTAGGAGACAAAAATGTTGTATTCTTACTGCGTCTATCTAAATAATCAATAAAAATCGTACAAAAACTGCAGAGACGTGTGTGAAGTTAGCCTCGAATTTTGGCCACGAATTAGGGAAGTATGCCATCCGCACCAAAACGATTTATACATTTTTGCACCAAAACAATTTATACATTTTTTAATTAAACCGTACTGCAAATATGGTTTCTTAGGGAATGCAGAACATGCATCATTATCATAAATAATGATGTACCCTTAGATTATGATATACATACAGGGTGGTCCTTCGGGAATGACATCGATTGCTTATGGGAAAACTGTGAAAGGTAAAAATTTGAAAATTTGGCAACATAGCAATGTCGATGGGGGACATCTAGGTAAAATATTTTCAAGATGGCGGCATTTCCGGTCATACCGGAAGTTGATACCAACTCGGTTATTTTAAATAGAACACCCCATATATTAATGTATTTTTGGATTCTACATAAAATTCTGAGCAGATTTCATGTAATATACCCTATACCTAAGTTCAACTGTTTTGGAAATATTGACAGTTGAAAATTGACTTTTTGCAACTTTGACAAGCTGTAAAACCTAATTGGTTAATTTTAGAGGAAAACCGATTTCACATTCCTATCTTAGATTTTTATAAACTATCATTTGACATCAACTTTGAATTAAATCCATGATTAAAAATTTCAGTTAAATTTAATCTCCGTTTAAGTTCAAAGTTGGTGTCAAATGATAGTTTATCAAAATCTAAGATAGGAATGTGAAATCGGTTTTCCTCTAAAATTAACCAATTAGGTTTTACAGCTTGTCAAAGTTGCAAAAAGTCAATTTTCAACTGTCAATATTTCCAAAACAGTTGAACTTAGGTATAGGGTATATTACATGAAATCTGCTCAGAATTTTATGTAGAATCCAAAAATACATTAATATATGGGGTGTTCTATTTAAAATAACCGAGTTGGTATCAACTTCCGGTATGACCGGAAATGCCGCCATCTTGAAAATATTTTACCTAGATGTCTCCCATCGACATTGCTATGTTGCCAAATTTTCAAATTTTTACCTTTCACAGTTTTCCCATAAGCAATCGATGTCATTCCCGGAGGACCACCCGGTATATAAAAAAAAATGTGTAAAATCTAAATTTAACACATATTATAAAATTTCACGTGAAGGATTCTACATTTTTTTCTTCAGATTTTGGACGGAGTACCTTTGGTTTTTAGATCGGTAGGGGATGAGGGGTTGAAAAAATCAGAAAACTCAATAAAAATAGGGTTTTTATTTTTTTTCTCGAGATTTTGAATGGGGTACCACTACCATCTTTTGGCAGCGACACTCGGAAGTGTTCTGGAATGTTCCCTGAAATTGGTTTTTAGATCGGTAGGGCATGAGGGGTTTAAAAAATCAGAAAACTCAATAAAGAATGGGGTACCACTACCATCTTTTGGCAGCGACACTCGGAAGTGTTCTGGAATGTTCCCTGAAATTGGTTTTTAGATCGGTAGGGCATGAGGGGTTTAAAAAATCAGAAAACTCAATAAAAATAGGGTTTTTATTTTTTTTCTCGAGATTTTGGATAGGGTACCACTATCATCTTTTGGCAGGGACTTACGGAAGTGTTCTAGAATACTCCCTCAAATTGGTTTTTGAATCGGTAGTGGTTGAGGGGTTGGAAAAATCAGAAAACTTAATAAAAATAGGGTTTTTATTTTTTTATTGCGATTTTGGATGGGGTACCACTACCATCTTTTAGAAGGAGCCTAAGGAAGTGTTCTGGAATGCCCCCTGAAATTGGTTTTTAGATTGGTAGGGGACGAGGGCTTGAAAAAATCAGAAAACTCAATAAAAATAGAGTTTTTATTTTTCCATTCGAGATTTTGGATAGGGTACGACTACCATCTTTTGGCAGCGACTTACGGAAGTGTTCTGGAATATCCCCTGAAATTGGTTTTTAGGGATATGATCGGTTGGGGATGAGGGGTTGAAAAAATCAGAAAACTCAATAAAAGTAGGGTTTTTATTTTTTCTCTCGAGATTTTGGATGGGGTACCACTACCATCTTTTGGCAGCGACTTACGGAAGTGTTCTGGAATGTCCCCTGAAATTGGTTTTTAGATCGGTAGGGGATGAGGGGTTGAAAAAATCAGAAAATTCAATAAAAATAAGGTTTTTATTTCTTTTCTCGAGATTTTGGATGTGGTACCACTTTACCATCTTTTGGCAGTGACTTACGGAAGTGTTCTAAAATACTCGCTCAAGTTGGTTTTGAAATCGGTAAGGGTTGAAAAAAAACCTGAATGAAGCAACAACATAGCGACCGTCGCCTGACTTTGGGTTTGAACTAAGAAATATAGGTACTTACTGAAAAAGCAACTTTTTTTATTTATAACTGACTCTAAAGCAGTGAGAATCACTGGTACCAGAGCCTCAATATACAATCTTAATATAATAATAAGTATAAAGTGTGGTCATAAATTACAGCACAGAACACTTACCTAAAACATAACATCACCATTCTGATAAAAGCTTCAGGTAAAATTTGAGGCACTTGGTTTCTCTGATAGGTAGTATTTATTTTTCAAATGTTTGAAGCCGCAAATATGGTGAAGACGGCTCAACTAAATATGTATAGAGAAACTATATATTTTTGGAATCTGAAAATTGTGCTCTTTAAGAATATAGAATCAAATATAGGGCATTCTATTTGAAAAAGGTGGGAATTCGCAAAAAAAAAACTGCTTTAATTTTGTGTTTACACTTGAGTTTACACCTATCACCTACCTATAAAAGGGTGTCAAATTATAACCAGACACCAATATTTTGTATGCCCCCCCCCCCCCCCCTTAATTTGGGTCTGGATCCGCGCCTGTAAAATACTGCTTTTGCCGACAAGAGTGCAAGTCCAACGAGTAGGAGGGTCGTTTTGAGAAAAAATTAATTCATTGGTAAATAGATGATCACCTAATTTTTGAACTAAAATAAAACCTAAGAAGCTAAAAATCTATTCAGTGTTGCCATTGTGAGATACAGAAGTCACCCTAGCTGCTTCGAGAATCCCACCACGCGAAAACGCTTAAGGTAAATACGTAGTGAAATTCCTCTACGTTTGTCAACACTGCGCTGCCAGGTTGGGTGCTTGCAAGCTATTCTTCGCCGGCGCGAGCTTTGGTAGCGGTATCCCTTCCAAAATCTCGAGAAGAAAAAATAAAAACCCTATTTTTATTGAGTTTTTTGATTTTTTCAACCCCTACCAATTTAAAAACCAATTTGAGGGAGTATTTTAGAACACTTCCGTAAGTCCCTGCCAAAAGATGATAATGGTACCCTATCCAAAATCTCGAGAAAAAAAATAAAAACCTTATTTTTATAGAGTTTTCTGATTTTTTAAACCCCTCATACCCTATCTAAAAACCAATTTCAGGGAACATTCCAGAACACTTCCGTAAGTCGTTGCCAAAAGATGGTAGTGGTACCCTATCCAAAATCTTGAGAAAAAAAATAAAAACCCTATTTTTATTGAGTTTTCTGATTTTTTCAACCCCTCATCCCCTACCGATCTAAAAACCGAAGGTACTCCGTCCAAAATCTGAAGAAAAAAATGTAGAACCCTTCACGTGAAATTTTGGTAAATTATTATTTATAATAATGATGCACGTTCTGCATTCCCTAAGAAACCATATTTGCAGTATGGTTTAATTAAAAAATGTATAAATTGTTTTGGTGCGAAAATGTATAAAACGTTTTGGTGCGGATGGCATACTTCCCCGGTCTAAAAACCAATTTCAGAAGGCATTCCAGAACACTTCCTTGACCTCCTTCTAAAAGATGGTAGTGGTACCCCATTCAAAATCTCGAGAAAAAATAAAAACAGTATTTTTATTAAGTTTTCTGATTTTTTCAACCCCTCAACCCCTACCGATCTAAAAACCAATTTCAGGGAACATTCTGTAAGTCGCTGCCAAAAGATGGTAGTGATACCCCATCCAAAATCTCGAGAAAAAAAATAAAAATCCTATTTTTATTGAGTTTTCTGATTTTTTCTTCCTACCGATCTAGAAACCAAAGGTATTCCGTCCAAAATCTGAAGAAAAAAATGTAGAACCCTTCACGAGAAATTTTATAAATATGTTAAATTTAGATTTTACACATTTTCTTTACATTAATTAGGTATATCATTATTTATAATAATGATAAAATAAACATGTTCTGCATTCCCTAAGAAACCATATTTGCAGTACGGTTTAATTATAATAATAGTTTTCTTTATAGCCAACAAAAATTGTATAAAAACAATACAAGCAACGTCACAAGGATGATCCAAGCAGCTATTATCGATACAGACAATCAATATGTTTTAGAGTATAACTTAAAATACACAACAATTTGTTGGCACACACTGCTAAAATAAAATAAATGAGAATATAGGATTTTTTTCTACACATTACAAAAAACCGAGCAAAAAACAGTACTAAAATGTAAATTTCAAACAGTAAGAACATTTGAGGTGCAACCACTGGTAAACTGATTTCTCAAATCTATCCACATTCTCAATTGCCTTTATGTTGTCTGACAAAATTCTATAAGCCTTAATGCCCATGAAGTAAGGGCCCTTCTCAAAAAATGTTGAGCAATGGAGAGGAATACTCAAGTCACCCCTGTTTCTGGTCGACATAACCATATCAACTTCATAATATGCCTGATTGGTAGGAAACATGTGAATATTCCGCTTAATTGAAAAATTTATAAATTGTTTTGGTGCGGATGGCATACTTCCCTAATTCGTGGCTGGAATTGGAGGCTAACTTC